TCAAAAGAACAGGTTCTCTGGTCTGTCTTACAAACAAAGTATTCAGGAAGGGAAATGTTTCTGTCCTGGTTGCCTACAGAAGTCCCTCAGAAATGTCAGGAAAACAATTCTACATGGGATAATCTGCAGTTTGAAATAACACAAAAGATACTACTGCCTTAGTAATGGCACCATTTATTTTAACTAGTGATGGTTTATGTCATAAACATAAACACGCCTTGTAATTAAGTCTCAATTCCACCAGTAATACAAGCATCAATTTAAATTATCATACCTAATTTTCCTAATGAATTTTGAATTCTTTTCTATAAGGTACTCCAGACAGACAGGACACAGATGCCTTTGGCACACATGAAGAGAGAGAAACACAACATTTAAGCCCTGCATGTATTCCCAGTATTTCTTCACCACTTTGCCTTGGGTGGCTCTCTACCCACATACTGCTCTTCACAGAGCCCATTCCAAGTTTTCCACGTGTACCTACCAGGCACCTGAACGAAACTGGGAACCTTGCAGGTTAGTACCACAGCTTTGCATGAACCTGGGCTCCTTTTGTTAGCTCCTGGTCATTAAAGCAATGGACTTTCAATTAAATTACATAGCTCAAGGTGACATTGGAAAGACATAGTTGAGCCCTGCAGACCTGCAAAAGCGGAGACTCAGCAGCAGAGCTCCTCTGAATATTTTACCATACTTCATTTTAATCCTATTTTGTTTGAATTTAATGGAATTTTCCTAAAGGAAGGCCCTCTAGAATCATGTGGCTCCAGCAAGATGTTCGAAGAGAAAAATTTAAAACTTACCTGGCTGTTATCTTCTTCCAACTTGCTTTGTGTCTCAGCCTCATCAGTTTGACAATGACATTCTTGTTTTCGTTAGGGTCTGTGCAGTCCCTGTTGAAGAAATTGGAAGCATCGAAAATATCTCAATAATCCTCGCTGGACTATGAATTACAGAAGTACATTTCTGAAATAATTAACCTGAATATGTGCTAGCATTAACAACAAGATGATATACGAATCCCCAGCAAGAGCACTACCACTCTGCTAAAGCCAATGCTCTCAAGAGAGCACCTCTGCCTCTCCTGTTCCTGTCCTTAATCCTAAAATCCAGTCGGCCTTCCTCTGGTGGGAACGCCACCAGCATCCTGCACTTCATCACCCAGGCACTTCCGTGTTCACAGAACAACTCTATTTCCTCCTCCTCCAGGGAATCCTGCCACTTCCTCCTAAACACCAGAAAAATGCTACAATGAAGCTGGAATTTGGGGCTGAACCCAGCAACGTGATGCGCAAACCAAACAAACTGATACACGGGGATAAGGAAGCAGCAGAAAACCTAGAGCAGCTCAGAACCCATCAGAGAAACAGACTGATTTACTGGAGTGACTCAACTTGAAACCAGGTCAAGAGCAAGGAAAACCGTGCTGCTGCCAAACTGCTGCTCAGTGAACTATCAAGATCAGGCTGACAAGTCAGTTCCCAGTCCTCTGTCACAAGCGACCCTCCAGCCATCGGCAGGGTGGTAGCACCTGCGCTTGGCTCACATCAGACACGTGCAGCTCGCCTCCGTTCTGCGAGAGAAATCTGGGGAAATTGTGTTCTTGTAACACATTTAATTAGGCATTTCTGGGCTTTGACATTCAGAACTTTCAAAATCAACAGTTTGAATGAGTTTGTTACACAACATTTGCACTTTAAATATTAAAATTAAAACAAATGATAAGGTAAAATTTTCAAAAACCTGCTGGTCATTTATTAGTTATTTTATTGCTAAGAATAAAATGCAGCTGCCTGCTTAGAAAAACTGCTCTTAGGCATACTAACTCATTGGGTTCCCCTAAGACTTCAGCTCCCAGGCGATCAGAATCTCTTTAGTATGGCATAGGCCCTAAATTACTGCAGTGCATATGAAAACTGTACTGTTATTAACAGTGTTTAGTTATTTTATTTTTATTTTTAGTTATTTGTAGTTACTAACAGTATTCTATCTTCAGATCATCATCACGTGAAAACATTGAAATGTTTGTGTTATAAAAATCAGTACCACAGACAATGCATCAGCAAACTGATAAATTATTACTTAAAATATTCACGCCATCTCAGCTACTTATAAGCTATCCTTGCAGCCTGGCTTTAGCAATGTCAGTGTTGCCTCTGACCTGCCGCATTACATTATCTTCATAATTAAGTGGGAATCCAGAATAACAATGCTGACCATGATAAAGAGATAGCCTTGATTTACAGCCGTTAAAGAAACCCATGGCATTTTTGTTTAAGTATCCCAGAAGCTTTTAGGAGCAATAGCTTCCATTTAAAAATTAAGATTCGCGTATGTAAATTAGCAAAAGCAGGAACATTGTTCCAGTTAGGTAGACATTCTATGTATAGAGCAAAAGTAGACAAATCTCTGAAAGTTTAGTTTTGTTAAAAGAAGTCTGGGTATCCAAACATCTCTGGTTAAAAAAACAACTTGAAATATGAAAATAGAAAGCTCTCAATAAGCTCCCGTAAATTTCTTGCTTTATTTGCCTGGCTCAGGTAACTGTGATAATTTTTGTCACGCTCTAATAACATACCAAATGGATCAAATTCAATACCAATAGAGTTACACAATGAGGGATTTGGTTTCTTACATCTCCACGAGCAAGACATGCAGAAGAAGGAAGTCCTAGAGCTGTGTGAAGCAAGATATCTCTGAATGTAAGAAGATACGCCAAGTATGTTGGTCTAATTGGTAGACAAATTTTAGCTCAGTTTTTTACTTTATTTTTATCTTTTATCTTATAATTAGTCATTAAAACAACCAGTGATCTAAAATTCCTCCTGCAAAAGAAATGCTAAAGGAAATACCTGAAAGCTTATTCAAGCTTGAAAAATCCTCCAACCTAATTAAAATCACTGAAAAAACTAGGCATTTCCTTCTTTCCTCTACTTTCTGGTCCCATTCTCCTTTTTCTCATCCTCTCTGTCATATTAAAAGCAAGTTTTAGAAAAAATTGTCCCTAATAATCGTATGAACTGTGTTCTTTTAAATCTAGTTCAAGAAAAACACACTGACAGCAGTTTGCATTCACTCATGACTAACAAAACCCTTTTGATGCTACTGGAAAACAGGGAGGTTTTATTCTGAGAACTAACTATCACTAAAATGAAAGGCAGGTTTATTACTGGAAAAGTCTTTCCTCTGTGCATGTGTCTATTTGCATTGCTACCACACAGCTTGCTCATAAAACTGTTACTTCAGATATCTACGCTGGGACCGTTAGTCAGCCATTTGTTCTGTCAGGTTCTTCAGTGCTGAGGAGATGAATCATATGACTGAGAGTTGTATTTTCTATGTATTACTTAAACAGCTGATGGTAAGACATGCATTGACATGAGTACGCCATCCCACCCCAGTGATCAGCCCAGCTCTCTGGCACAGACTGCCCAGCAAGACCACCTTCTAGCCCAGTGCCGGGGGCCAGGGGCTGACACACAGGGCTTTGGGCTTGCTTTTTCACTCCCATTTGCAACAGCCAGAGCTGCTCGTGAGCACTCCTCTGCTTCATGATTTATGCTTCTGACACTTCGCACACCCACTTACAGTTACTCGCTCTGCAGTTGATGTAACGAGCAGACTGGCTAGTCTTCTTTTACACCAGGAATGAGCAGGGAGCGGTCCCACCCACTCTGTCACAAACAGCAGCATCAGAAGTCTGGCTGGGAGAGGGACCCACCACTCCCAGGCACGTGGCCATTTCAGCAAGCCCAGGAGCCATCAGGCACTTTCTGCCGCTCCCACTTGCCATGTTAGGAAAGCCAGAGCACAGCCTGCCCACGCAGAAAAGCCTGGCCTGCTCTTCCAAGTACGACAAAACCACAACCGGTCTTCTTCAGCACTTCGGACACGCAGTACCCAGGTCTGTATTTCTCTGTCTCAGGGATCCAGATAAAATACATCACATATAGTAGTTTGAATTATTTGTAGTGAATTTTCCATCAAAACATGCATTTAAAGCAGTTTCGGCTCCTCCCTCAGGAGGCCCACAGCTCTTCATTGGTGGAACAATCTGGTAGGTCCTTTGAGAGTTCTTTGGAGTCCAGTGAGGAACCTCATTTTGAAAATCTCCCTGTCGCCGAAGGATCCGTGGCCTCCAAATATGCCGTGTTCTGACAACAAAAATTATTCATTTTTGTTTCCATTCTCTGAATGCTACCACTCGCATCACTTTCCTTGAAGGAGCTGTCGCCAGCCATTTGGAAACGAACAGCATTTTTCACTGTGCCGTGACGGGCTGCCGTTCTACGGAGCCAAGAGCGATGAATTCCTCTCCCGTCTCCAGCAGCTCACCATGGCATTTGCCCCCACGCAGCCTGTTGTTGATGTCAGTGTGCTGTGCCAGTATAAAGGATGCAATTACAGAGAAAGGACAAGATCTCATTTAAAATAGAAGATGATACATGATGTTTGTTGTTCCACAAGCTTGAAAAAATCTCAACTTCTCCTTCACCAGTGATTAGTTAAAATAAATCATACATGGGCTGGACTCATTTACTTCAGGAGTGATACTGAGACTCTGTAGGAGAAGCTGGGAGGGAATATTAGGGAATGCTGGTTTTACACAGGGTGAGAAATACAGCTGTAAATTTGCAAGCCATCCGGTCCAAGACAAAATGCAGAGACCTAAAAAATAAAAAATTCTTTCTCCCCTCAGCCATATTAAAACTGTACGTATCTGATGAACCCGAACTTAACCATTAGAATTCTGAAGGACAAAATCCAATATTCTCTAGCAGAAGAATGCACCCTGACTACTTCTCTTTCTAGAAATCTTATCTGCAGAAATTTGGCGAAGTAAGACTGATTTCCCCCGCCTCAACTATAACTTCAAACTTTAAATGAATTCACTCTCAGTTTTGATACAAAATGATTTAGCATTGCCAGGAAAAAAAGTCACATTTCAAACATTTCTGTCTTTGAAAGGATTAGAGCTTCACTTTACGGTCACAGGCCACATGGCCAGCACGGTCTTTACAGATCAAATGACCATTTTTGTAGAATTCATGTTAATTATTGAAATTGTAGCAGATGGTAATTTTTTCAGCAAAGAAAAAATTCTAGTGTGTTGCTTTAGGACAAGATAAATAAGGTTGATCTTCAGATGCTTATAGATGAGGAGCTGTTAAAGCTGCAGGCCTAAAATGCAGATTTCCTGTCAACTTTAATTAGCTTCTGTGAACCCTAAATTATGTAGTTATTTAAAAATAACCAGGGTGAAGAAAAGCAGTTTTGCCAACTTTCTGTTGTTCACACTCATGCAAAAAGACGGAAAAGTGACTCTGTAATGCTGTGAGTTCTGAGTCAATGAGAAACAAATGCTGGAATTACAAAATTACTCAGAAAGGCCTGACAGAGGCTGGAATGAGAGGAACAAGTAATTCCTTACACAGAAAGAAAAGTGGAAATGTGCTAAGCATGATGTCAGTGAAAACCTGAGATACTTTGTGACAGAGCAAAGCACCTGTCGGGTAGATGGGCTGAGAAATCTCTGCAGTTATTTCATTTGAGATATTTCATTCACAATACCACAGTGGTGTTGCCACTGTTGTTTAATAACTATGCTCACACTTTAATGTGAGCGTATGCTAACAGTAAGAAAAGGCAAGAATGAACTTTTAAAGGTGTTGACATTATAGAAATGACCGTGGGCCCTATTCGTTAGTTACACAAATTTATTAGGCAAATTTTACAAATCTTTATTCTTCACATTTGAGCCCTGTTCAGAAATGCTGTCTCTATAGTTACTTTTTAAAAAGTGCGAGGGCAGCAGCTTTGTTGTTTTCAAACAACAGAATAGCTTGTGCTTTTCTTTATCCTTCCCAACAAAAGACCACTTGCGGGATGGATCATTTTCTAGAAATCACATACTGGTGTAGGAGCTAAGAAATTGGGAAGAGATTATCTCTGTGAACTGGTGTTCAAGATTGGATGTATAGAATATAAAGTTTAATTACGAAATGAACCAGATTTCAGATCACTGATTTGTCCTTCAACAGAAAACTCAATATCAAAACTACCTGCTACCTCTTGGCAAGCAAGAAGCAATATATTGCTTCAGGACATTTTACAGAAAAAAACCAAGGTCATCACATATATATTCTCCATCACTGAGACCACTAGTTGTGCAAAATAAACCACAGAGAATAACTAGTAACATCAGATGCAATTACTAAGGCTACCTAAGAATAAAAAAAAAAATGTAACAATTAAAGAGGTAATTTAATTTGAATAACTTTCAAATAAATGTGGGTGTGTCTCATCCAACACATGCTGTAAGTTACCATTTAAAATCCTAGCCTATTCTACCTTCGTCTCTAAAAAGAAGGAAAAGCAGATTTTTTTTTTTTTTTTTTTTTGTGATTTGGAAGTTCCAGGTCATTGCAGTTGCACAATAATTACATCAAAGTCAGAAAGCACTGCAGTCACTTCAGTCACATGTGGTATAAGATGGTCACTTCTTCACTATCAGTCTAATCTCAGGGCTATCTTACCACCTTCTGTCACATTAGGAAGGTGCACGCTTTTGCTCACCCGGAAATCTGTGCAAAGAGAAAAAGAGGATATTCCTCATGCTCCAATGTACTACAACTCCTGGACAACTGTAGCATCTTGTAATGACTGCACGAGTCACTCTGAACGTTCTTCAGTCCCTGGTTCTTTTAACTGACCAACGTATGAGATTAGCCTTATAAATGAAACTAGGAAGATACTCTTTGGGTGTAAAAAAAATCTTATGATTATGACACGTTAATTCGGAATCCTGTAGCTGTTTCTCTGATAGCTCTGTGCCTCACTCAGACTCTCAATATAGATCTAAAATAGTGAGGACTTCTGCCTTTTGTACAAGGCTATATTTACATCTTTGCTCACCAGACAAAGGAACAATAGACAGCACGTCAGTATTAGACATGTACTACTACCGCAAACATTTTCTTATGCCTGACCTTCATGTGAAGATATATGATCTGTGCATACCTTTATCGCCATGAATACATTGGGTATTCACAAACCAACAGACACACAACTGTCTGTGTCTAATTGTGTCCAATGTATATGAGAAACTAACGGATATTAAGGGCTTATTTATATTCTGGCAAACACCCAACTGTGGGAGGTGGGCTGGGAGAACCTCAATAGTTTCTACAGCCTGTAATAGTAAAACGAACTTGTATTTATCATTGTGTCTAAAAAGTTAGTATCTGGGGAGAGGAAACTCCTAATCACCTAACTGGATAGCACACAGCAGAAAAAAGAATTAAACATCGGAGAAGAATGGGTCTTAGCTCTGGTGGGCATGGGAGGCAACGAAAAGAGCTGCTGCTGGCCACAGACTGTACAGCTTGCTTTTAAGTTGTAAACAACAGACTTTTACAGAGAGAACTTGTGCCGTAAATGAAGGCTTTTAGAGGACTTCAGTATAGTGTTTGTTAATCTTTCTTTGCTAGTATCTAGCTAATCAACCCATATAAATACTTGTGAAATTAACTTTTATCATCCAGTATGTCTACAGAAAGCAAGCTCCTTCCTGCTGCTTGTGTGCATTCACACCAGAATCTCTGACCAGAAAGGTAAATGCTTTAGAAGGAATGCACCTGTCTGAACACAGTTTAATCAAGGAGTTGGGCTGCTGATTGCTTTAATGAATATCTAAAGAGATGAGCTGCTGAAGTGCCTACAAAATTTAATTTGCTAACATCAAAAACCAATGACACTGCCACAAACAAAAAGTAAGTCAAGATTTATCAAAGAAATAGTTACGAATTATTCTTTCAGTACTTGTACTACTGGGATTTGGGGTTTCAGCAACAGCCCCTGAAGGGTTTACCTTTTGAGTCCCGTAACAGAGCCCTGAGGACCTCGGGCTGTGGGTGCTTCCACAGCACCTTCGCTGCTGACCTTTGCCTTCACCACCCGGGGTGAGGCAGTTGGCAACGAAGGAATGTGCAGAGCAAAAAAACTGAGCCAACAGCAGAGGTCAGCCACGAACTGCACTTTTCCTCTCCAAACTTGCCTGAACCAATTCATGCTGTTTACTGCACCTCCAGAAAGGTCTGTGCCAAAACAGCAGTGGATAACAAGAGCAAGGGGAAAGAAAATGAGTTTTCTTCCCAAAATGAGATGAAAATTTGGGTACTAAGAGCACTGCCATGGGAGGGTTGAAGTACGAATGGGTGGTAACACCTGGTTTCTCTCCAAACAACACAGTTCCCCTAGCAACTCGCTCCTGTCTGCTAGCTGGTCCAAATACGTCAAGATCCCACAGAAAACAAACGCACCACAAAACAAAAAAGAGAAATAATGAACTCAACCTAGATAGACCACTAAAAAAAAATACTTGAGAACTTTGGCAGTGTCTGTCCCTACACCAGCTCTGGCTTGGCTTTTGGAGAGCTACCATTGCCACTTGCCAGTTTCCCCTTACCCCTTGGTAAAGCTGATCGGCATCCTGGCTCATCTAAACAGGGGAATGTTTCAGACCTGCTGCACGTTACGGCTGGAATATGATGCACCAGTGCGCTGGGCTACCTGGGTTGCCCTCCGGTCCTGTGCTCAACATTTAAAAATATCTGAACAGTGGCTTTGTAAATTAGGTCAGTGCTTTAGCCAAAACAGACAACACGGGTTTTTAAAGCTGAGAATTAACACGGACTAGTAAGCTGCTGCTCGCTGGGTTATTTGAAACACAAGCATTGCGTTACCCCTTGCAAATGAGGACACTCTTCTGTTCCACTCTGTCTTCAGTGCAGCTGCCCAGGACGTTCCTTTAATGCAGCAACTGGATTTGAAGGGCAGGGATTTGGACTGAAAGAAACCACCCATGCATGGTCTCAAAAAGGCGCCTAAAGTTGGGGCAGGGAAGCAGACAGCCAGGCAGAGGTGCTTTCCGGAGGTGGAAACGCCTGCCCCGGGCGGGGGGGCAGGCATCCTTCCACCCGGCCCTGCGCTTCTCCAGCGCCAGGCACAACGCCCCTCGGCCGTGGCCGCTTCTCC